GGATCAATTGAACGCCAATAGAGTCTGTAATATAGAAGTTTGTAAGCAATGAATGGATTGTCTGATTGTATGCATCGACCACTTGATAATGTGATGCCATTTGATTGACAGCTCCGTCGACCACAATATACTTAAAGGTGGCGCGCGTACAGCCAGACCCTCAACACGTGCAGGACTATCACGTGCCGGTCCTCCAGTTCCCCGTCACTCCCAATCAGTGGGATCTCACCACTCAACAGGTCTTACCTCTCTCTCTCTCTCACTTATTATAGTTTATAACTAAAGTCTCTATTTTTCGGGAATTCCCGATTTTCCCGAATTTTCCCGATTTTGGCACTTTTTGAGAGTTACTTTTTAAAGAAAAATATGGATTTTCTATCGAAATACTAATGAATTTGCTCACAAAATACCAAAACNAATGTCATTATTTTGTTTCGTTAGTGCATATAAACCTTTTAAAAATCACTTAAATACATAATTATTATGTGAAAATCCAATTAAAACGTAATTCCCGAATTTTCCCGATTTTGGCCTTGTATACTCCCGAATTTACATGTTTTTATTCCCGAAAAATCGAGACTCTATTTATAACTGATTATGACATTTATTTCTGGCTTTCATTTTGATCACTCATTATAATTATAATCAGAGAATGAGATATCGGTCTACCGTTTGTGACATTCATTTCTATTCAATTTACTTTTAAAATTAATCATTTTGCAAATTATTTATGTTTTTTACTTATATTAAGTTTAAAACGTGAGAATTAATTGAAAAATGAGTTCATTTAACGCATTATTTCCGATATTTCAGAGCTCTGTTTAAAATAAAGTTTTTACTAATTATTTAATTTTATCTCTGATTGCCTTTCAGTGGGACTATATAAGTGTAAAGGTATAGGTTATGTGCACCTGTCGTGTATCCCTTTCCCTGTGCCCTCCCTTTACCCCTTCACTCTTCTTTCCGACAGTTTTGCTTCCATTCAAAATCAATGACAGCTCTTATTATTAAAATTTAATTATAAAACATACTGTATGTTAATAATCACATTGAGTTCCTAATCACATGCAATTTAGTCGTTAATTAATGATATAATGTGTAAATTGAAGATTAATTGACTGATTGTAAACAACAGATTCTTCCATATATTGATGGCATTCGTCACATCTCTAGAATCGCATTGGAAGCCGACGTTGAGATGAGTTTAGTGAAGGCCTGCGTCCAGAATATGATTTATTACGGAATTATAACATTGATTCCTATATTCCAATATTCAAACGTCTACTTAACGACACCTCGTTTAGTGCATTTGGCCGAAAACATTAGCCTTCAGGACGAGTGCATTAGGTCCATAGCCAACTCATTGGCTCTCCAGTAGATAACCACTAATTTTTGTTTAATTTTTAGATTTGTATCGAAACAAGAATCGCAACCATTGGCCACATTTCGCTCAATATTCCAACTCTACTGTCATATGTGTCCGGGAATGACAGTCAAAGATCTGTGTATGAAATTCAATCCATCCGCTCATGGAATCGATGAGAAAGCGCTCATTAAATTCGGTTTAATGAAAGGCTTTA